AACTTCGACCTCATCACCTGTTACCCTATCCTCCACATCTCTCTCTAATAGGGTCTGGACCCTTTACAGCTATCATCAGGCACTAAACCACCTTTGCTAAGCCGAATGACGTTGAGTAACTGGATCCCTATTTTTTTCACGGCCTCATACTTTGAGGAGCCAAAAAGCTTGAATTGAATTCGAGCTCTCCTTCACGCTTATTGAGATATATCTCTCATGAAATTCAAATTAACAATAAATAATCGCCCTTAATCCTAATCGTTTCAAGTAATTCCCAACTTCCCCTTGCGCAGTCAACAGAACACCACTAGTGGATGGCGTGCTATTATATGAAATGTACTTGAAACCGTATTTTTTTTCTCTGACACACCACGCAGGCGCCTGCGAATTTAGGCCTCTTCCTTGAGATCCCTTTGACACTAAATATTAGCCATAACAAGGTTTTTTTTCGCAAGTGGCAGATAAAGCTATGGGTGCGGTTGACATCGACTGAAATCAATCTGACAGTAGATCCGGTTGGGAAGTGGCGTTTCGAGTGACCGCGCCAAAACAGTTTGTACACTGAGGCTCCCTGCGAGAGGGATCGTGCTTGTTCTCGAAAATGTTTGAGCTTGTTGACCTTTCTTTCCTCGGTCTTTCCTTTTTCGTATGCGCTTATATACCCGTTTCTGCGAGACCCATGTCCCCCTCCCCTTTTCCGCTAAACGACAGTTTTTGTGGGAAGAAAGTGGATGAATTCCGGAGAAAACTGACAAAACGTAAACTGTGGGATACTAGTAGGAGGGGGATGGAAAAAGGGGGGGGGGTCTTTGAAGAAATTCCGAGGAGAGTCGCATTTTGCAAAACTTTTTCCCAGCGGCAGGACGTTTCCCTGATGGCAACGCTCTCTTGTGGTCCCTTTATTTTCCTTTGGTACACCTCTTTTATCACTTACGTTGCATCTACCAAGCTTCTAAATTTTCAGTCTTATTGATTCTGCCATCAAGTACGGCGGGCAGGGTAGTATAGGTGGTAAGCCAACAATCTAACCGAAAATTCCAAAAATTTTTCCAAAGTACGGCTCTACTTCCCAGCAGCCGATTTGGACCCCATCCCTTGTTACCCCACGCCGATGGATGAGCAATGTCTTAGACAAATAGGTTTTCCCAACCTTGCACGACTAGGGCTCACGTGTTACTTGAAGACTTCTTGACGCGAGGCGGGGCGGTGGCGGTCGAGAGGGATAGGGAGGGTTTGTACGCTAATCATGGTTGATGATTAGTCATCTTCACGCAGGGCACAGCTCGTAGTGGGTGGAATGGCGATAGTCAGCACGGACCCCCCCCCCTCTCTTCGCCTTGAACACTTTCCACCGATTTCTTTCCCACGTTTTCACAGCTTTTCATCGAAGGAATTTTCGTTGAGCGAGAGGGAGGGGCGGGGACCCCGGCGGACAGATAGGTTAATATAACAGTACACAAAAGAAAACACGGAAAATCACCCGAAACACTCCACGAGCGATGGAAATTTTTCTAGGGCAAATTCCTCTTCCAAGGCTTATACGGACCTCCCACTATTCACACGACCAAGTATGATGACTCCCGCAAGCGGAAACCGTATTCGATCTTCCTATGTGTTTTACACAACGATGCTGTACTCTGCTTTCAATGGAATCATTGACTGCTCTAAGATTCTGAACCTGAAACCTGGTGCAGCTTTCAAAAACTATTCTGGTAGACGCTTGCAGAACCGAATTCCATACCTTTTCTGCCTGCATCGATCAATATTCTAAGAAATTCATACACCCAACCCCTTTTTTTCCGGGGGGGCGGGGCGGGGGGGGCGGGGCGTGCCCTTCTTTTTTCCACTTTTTTTTTTTTCTTTCCTTTTTTTCTTTACGTACTCATCCCTGTGCGCTCCGCTCGTCCCCCTAGGAATTCTATTGGCCCACAAGTAGTATTTTGTCACTTTCAGCTATGCTGTTACTGCTTCTGCTGCAACTGCTATGGCTACATCCCTATGTTTTGCGGAAAATGAGCCATATACAGGTTTGTTATCAGGATGTTTTGGAGGTATATTCATGAGGGCCAACTTCAACAGAGAGAGTCTCACCTTCTTTTACCTGAAACGAGATCTAATTCTGGTTTTTTTCCTCTCAGAGTCGATATTCGAACATTCTCTTGAGTATTGAAGTTTAACCAAAACAGGTATGTTGGTCGAAGGACGGTCTCATTGCCACCGACTCGTCGGGGGTCCCTCGTGCGGGGAACTCGATCAAATTTCTAACCTGCATTATTTTTTTATATGAATTTTTAGAGATGTCCCATGCAGGATATTTTTATTGAACTTCGTTACGAGATGTCCTGTCTCAGGAGTAGGAACATCAAAACTAAATTCAGGGCTTCACAAAAAGATAAAAGCTTTTTTCTAGGGATTCATACAGTTGATCGATCCTTTCGCGGATGTGGACTTATACAATTAATATAAGCTGGTCAGCCCATGTACAAGTCAGTGTTCCTGGCCTCCCATACAATTCTGGTACCTCCCAAGAGTGGAGAAGATTGGCGGCGCTGTTTGGCGACAGGGCCAGGGCGACAGGGGGCGGGGGAGATTTATCGCCACTCCTAGCTGCATTCCATCGGGACGTGTCGACCCTCATTCTCTTCTCGAGTTGACAGGTTTTACCATGATGGCTTGACGAGCTTGCTCCAGCTTCACAAGAGTTCACAGGTTTCACCAGAGTGAGACTTGTAAACCAGAACTAGTGAAGCAACGAAAGTGCAAAATGCCCCCCGTCGGCAAACTGCGCCCCGACTGGTAGGCGAGAAACGATTCAGGATCTGACAGCAGGACACGCGGAAGCGCGCCACTTGCCACCACACCACTTCCGCCTCCTCGACCCTATTTATCTAAGCAGTCACTAAGTGAAATCCTACGATTCAGTGATTCTGATAAGTTAACCAGCCAGATGCGGGCCCTTACCTGTCATGACCCACTGGTGGCAATGTGATCCGCCAAACGAGCTCCCTCCCAAGCGACCAAATAGCATGTTGGCAGAAAACTCATCCATGTTCGGGCAACGCCCATAAACGCGCGAATTTCCACTTCGGTTGTTCTCACATATCAACCTTATCATGTTCATGTAATAGGTATCGATTGGAAAACCGTCAAAGGATGTGAGGAGAAGAGAGAGGAGAACTTCTACGTCCTTGGATGCAACCAAGTGTTCTATCGCTGCTATGGTGTGAGTTTTCTTTTGAATTGAATAGTTTTCTCAAAAATGTGTGTGTCAGGAGATCAGAGTTGCGGCGCCATGCAGAAATTAACTTGAAGCAGGCGGCGTTTCCTAGCTAGTTGACTCGACGTGCTGCAGCACTTTCAAAAAATTACAAAGAAGAAATCGATCGAAAAAACCGCAGAAAAGAATCATCCACGCAAGGAAGCCCTGAAGCAGCTTGAATCTCTTGACCCATACCCTACAAGGGCAGTCTCTGAATGAGGTCTATTTAGGGCAAAGCCTATGAGTACACGTGTCCCTCGGGTCTCTATTTCGATATTTCGATCCCAAGCGAAATCGTTGCAACCATAAGGAGAAGACAAGCACCTGCTTGAACGAGGCGAGAATTACAAGCGGCACACCTGGTTAGACAGGGATGTGAGTTCATTCTTTAGAAAGCATTAGACCGGAGAAACTCATTTTCTCGATTGTTGGTCCTGTTCAGAAACTTGACTGTACTGGAAGGACTGCCTGAAGGCAGCTTAAGAACATCCAGAAAGCCGGTGTGGACAACGTTTAACCTACAATGCGTCGCCGTTCAGGACGAGCCAGTGCGACAAACAGTAAGTATTAACTGACTTCTTTGATGGTCATGAGCATAGGTCTCTTTTTCAGCAGCGTGAAAATAGCCGAGTATAATACCTATAGGCTATGGAAAGGCCTAGGAAGAAATATACGCTATCGCTCGATGGTGTGAATCTCTTAACTTTGTCTCGCATCCGCCTCATAATTGCATGCCTTGGGGGGCGGGAGTTGCTCTTGCTTTGCAAAATCCGATGTAGAAACATCACGTGATAAACTTAAGGATGACCTTAAATATTCCTCTCAACGGCTAACTTAAGCGCCGAGTGAGCAAGTCTCGCGCTCTATCCGAGATGTTCGTGCCGACATCGCCGGACATACAATCGACATGATGTCGCACGAATCGTCGGCGGTGCTTCTGTCAAGAGCTATAGAGTAGAATGAGGCAACCGCAGGCATTTTCCTACTTCTCTTCGCTTTCTGCACTGAATTCGCATCAGTAAAAGACCTGCGCTGGTTTCGATAGAAAAGGCTGCTGCGGTGGGAGTGGGTGGGGGAGGGGAGGGTCACTCCAGCCCTCCTGGACACGCCCTGACTCAATCAGTGTCGTATACCAGTCACCTGGCAGCAGTCGCTCTGTGAACTTGCATCACAGCAAGATGTGGCAAACGAAAATCTGCGCCGTCAAGTAGTCAGATCCTCATCACACGGTTTTTTCATTGAAAATTTTAAAACTATAACCAAGTTCAATCCGTTACTCCGGGGGGGTTAAATGTGTTCGGATGAGAGAAGAAATCTCCCTGTGAATTTCAAGCATATAGTAACGCATTCGCGTGCCAAGGACTTCTAGGAGAAGAAAGATGCCAGCCGGCCCGCCTTCCTGACGCCCGGTGTTGTTTTCTTTAGATTCTTAGCAACAAATGTGGATCTTCCGAATTTGCACGGTTTTCTAGCGGACCTATTGCACCGGCTCCAAATTATGCTCCAGTCAATGCGTTCGCCCCACCGGTAAGCGAAATCATTTGAATCACACATCAGCAATCAATTTGAGAGCCTTTGCCGGAGGTACGTGTGGCATTCTGGCAAGATACTGGCAAATACATCGCCGTGACATACAGCACCAGTACTAAATGGTTACTCCCGCAACATGTATAAGCTTAATGATAGGGTTTTGATAAAATAGAAGAATCAGGACTTCTACAAAACAAAGAATGGAGCTTTATGTCTTGTGAAGCCGCGAAGTGGTACAAGTGAGTCACTCCAGTAGCACGAATTTACAGGTCTTTGGAAGGTAACCTGTACAAGCCAAGTTCCATCGTTGTGATGCCCTCATCAAAGCAAACTGCCCCATCATTTTTGTTCCACGGGGCTTTATTGACACGGCGTTCTTCCCACGATGCACTGATCCTGTGCCGGAAAGGTCTCCGTGACATACGAGCCCCGATACTGGATGGTCACCTTTTGATCACAGTAGGGTTCACTAAACTGTCAAATTTTGCCTCTTAATTCATCATAATACTACCCTTCAGGATTGTCAGTTATCCCTTTCGTGGCGATTGCAATAAAAATTTTTAGGTGATCTCTGCTCCGGCACCTCCTCCACCACCGGCTGCACTTCCGAAGAGCGATGATGGTAACAGAAGTCCCAACGTTTTCCGCTGAATGACTGACTGCTTGCTTTGAACGTGTGATTTAGATGAACTTTGCCTGAACCGCCCTGATGGAGAATACAGCGCCGGAGATTGCTCGAACATTTTCTATAAATGTGCTAATGGAAAACTGTTCAAGTACAGGTGCCCAATGGTAGGTTCTGATGCTCATTCTTACAGTGAGTGGGCCTGCTGTGCCCTGAAGAGATTACTATCCTAAAAATTAGGAAAGAAATGTGACACAGTTCAGAAGCGATTTGATAGCGCTTAACATTAGCTGTCTACCCGGTCATCCTCTGAGGCCTCTTCTTCGTGGAAACGTGGAATTCCTGGACACGCCCCTACGTCTGTCTCCCTTCAGAATATTCTGGGCTTTTTTCCAAGCGTGTTTGAAGCCATTGGGCGCACTTTGACAGCATTGTTCTTCTTCTCGGCTCGGGATTAAAAGCCTTCTATTCTATTAAAACCTCCCCCTCCCCACAACCTTCAGGCACTACTCAAGCACATCTTAGTCGCTCTCCTAACCTCCAACTTCCGAGAAGAAACTTCGTAAAAGGGGAGCGGGATAACATGTTCCTTAGCTCCTTAAGGATAGCCTCCCGTTCGGTTCTTCTCAGCCAAGGCTCGTCCTGATCGTCAGTCGTGGAAAAAAGAGATCCCCGAAAAGAATGTATTTCGGTCAAGAGTTCAACTATGGAAGCTCTCTAAAAGGCTGGCTCGCGACAGTTGAGGGCTAGCCTTTCTAACCCTAAGGGTACTCGCTGTTGGAAAGCGGGGTTCGTGGGGGGAGGTAGACGGACAAGAAAACCTTAATCTGCGGCGTAGTCGCGCGGGGCGAGTTTTGTACTCGCTAGCGCGGCATATTGCGATTATCTTGTCACATACCCAGAGCCTGATGAACTAGGTCAGAGAGATGAGGCTCAGGACCACCCTAGTGGACTCTGCATCTAGACCAACCCTTGGTAGGGGTCATGGGATCTGAGTTGCGACGACAGGCAGATACTGAGACAAGTAGCCATGAGCAGCTTTCACTGCTTTCTGCTTTGTGTTGGCTTCTCACTAAATGGTCATAGGGACGTCACTTGTAGCATCGCTTGCCTTCCTCTTTGCCACGACCTCTTCAGTCCAAGCAGCTGGCTTGCACTGTGCCGATCCGCGGAGCCTGGTGTATGCATTCACCTCTCAATCACGTCCGCGAGCCTTTTATCATTTCACTTCAATGGATTTGTCCAAATCTACTAGCCATGTTCCGACGATTATCGATCGTATCTTGAGAATTGTTAAGTGCAGACCTGTCTACAACCATTCCGCCAAGCAATGCCAAATGAAGGAGAACGTTCCAGCATGTAAAGTATTCGATCGGGAAGCCGCTCGTCAAAACTTCGACTGCTCCGGAAAGGTACTTGTCTGATTAGCGGCTATCAACTGAGAGGCGAGTTTACAGATGGGCCAGAGTGATGATCCGCGACACATGAGTTGCCGCGGTTTCATCAAATCCCTCTTGAAAACCCTCTTGGCCATTGAAAACCGTTCCAAGTGTGTTGGAAGTAAGTGTAATCGAAGAGTGTGGAGCGTTAGTTCCGAGTCGCGACGCCGCGGCGGAGATGCAGAGTATTTTCTTCCTAGCAGTTGACATGAGACACAGCACAATGAGAGTGGCCGGTGCCACACTCTGTCACACTATTGATTGTTCCTTACAGCGAATGCTACACAGGTACTTTTGGCTCGGTACCTCTTTCGCTAGCAGACCTGGGAAGTAAAGCTCCACACTCATGATTGTAAACATTTGCCAAGGGTGAGAACTAACTGGAAAGATTGCTCCGAGGGATTTAAATGAGAGCAGTATGGACATCGGTCAATAGTATCCATTCAGACTGATGGCTACTACGAGAAGGAGCGCTGTCAACCGTACTTCTATTCGTGTGTGGCTGGAAGGACAGAAGTACTGGAATGCACAACTGGACTTGTGTTTGACGCACGCATTTCTGCAATGATGAATTATCCAGTAGCTTGCAGTGGCCGTCTGACAGTATGACTAACGAGAGATAAAGAAACTAGGCATAAAGATCTTTCCTCGCCTTCAAGAAAATGGCTAGAAGATGTTCCGGCGCCATTTAGGGGGCATCTGCACTTTCGCTAGTTCCTTTTACTTGTTCCTGTCGAACCAAAGGTCCCAATTCAGTGAAACCTGTACGCACATCTCAAGTGTAAACGGAGTCCTGTGTTTCAAGCTCACCAGAGTTTACAGGTCTCAAGGAGGAGGCATCGGTCATGATTTGAGGAGAGCAATAAGATGCCCCCTCCAAGCCAAACGACGCCGCTACTACTCCATTAGCGGTGACAGTTCTTTCAAGCGGTATAAGGAAATAAGGTTTGCCGGAGTGACTCGCCGAAAACGTATCTAGCGCTAATTATGGAAAACTAGAAAGCGTAGCGTGTTTTAGTGCTACCAAGCTTAGGACAGGAGGGAAGTATATCTGCTCCTTGTGCAAGACTGGGATTAACGTACTGGAGATGTAGGACGCTTTGCACTGATCTAAAACGGAGAAGCCTTGGCGGGTTGTGCTCTGCCTGGTATGACTTTATCTCATTTTATCAATTAGCCCTTTAAGTGACGCCCTGAGAGGCCACAAGCACGATAGATCGTATTCTGTCTTGAATACCTAAAGGTGCTCCAATAGAGGGAAAATGGGCGAAAAAAGAAGTGAAACTGTCAAAACCATAAACAACAGCCGTTACCAATCAAAGCAACTTTAGGCAGTTCCACGACTGACGGGTGCTCGGCCTAAAATGCTAGTAGGGCGCTATATAGTGGGGAAATGGCGAAAGAACGGAGTGAAACGGTCAAAATCCTGCGAAAAAAAGACTTCGTTCTCACTGTGTTAGTAATCAATTTTGGACGAGTTTCCCGAAGGCATCTTACCAATAACCGCTACCGAAGGTACGGCTGCATATGTGTACTCATATATCCATGCAGCATCACGACCCCGCTTCATACCCCAAAGAAATCGATTAGAGCGTCTGGAAACAGTCGTCGGCATTTGTGGGCAAGGGGGCGTTTGGGACGTAAAGTTGTGGCTTGATAGCGCCCTTATAAGGGCTTCTCCCTGGAAAAGGCATTATGCAGCGCCTGCTCAGGGTCGCGGAATTCCGTCCCACCATTAGTCCTGCTCTTCTTGGAGGATTTATCGTGCCAACTGCCTTTAAGGGTACCTTCGCTGGAAGAGGCGCCACACATTGCCTGCTTAGGGGCCCCGAATTTCGTCCTGTTAATCCTACACGTCTTAGGGACTTTTCGTGCATCTTGCCTTCAACGGTGTCAGCGCTTTGTTTCCTTCAGACTTCCAAATTACCCTAAGGGGAGACTGCACATGTGAGTGAGCGAATGCCAACCAGCAGGTCGGAGACACAACGGCGTCTCGACGCGTGCGCAGCATTTGCACCAGAATCTATTTGCTTTGAAGGGGAGGTGCTGCATTTAGCCTACTTAAATGCACACGAAATCCCTGGAATGCGGGAACTTCAACCAAATGTGACTGCAGCCGCGTTTTTGGTGAGATAATTTCGTTTGGACACAACTGTGGTCACAGAACAAGATGGCACTTGTCTCAAACTAAGATATTTCAAGAGTAACCCATTCTATGCTATGCTGAAATGCCACGCCTACTCCATCTCAGGGATAAGTGATGAAGCTGGGCAATGCCGCTCGCCCCTTTAGCCGTATTGTACCACTCCTATCTTCCGATCTACAGCTACTGTCAGGCTATGGACAGCTCCGGATAGATTTGAAGGCGGTAGGACATACAAAAAGTGATGAACCAGCTGCTGGAGATCATTAGGATGTATTGGCTCCATGGCATAAACACAAAAACTATCCAGTAGATGCAAAAAGCTTAGAAATATTTTTTCAGAAGCTCACTTCAAACTGAAGTCGTCACACCAATCGCTGCAGCGGATCATGGTTCGATCAACAGTGGAAGAGTCAGTTCCTTCAGACAAACTGCACCATTTATACATGACTACCCTACATTTCCTAATCTAGACTGGACTGTTGTCGCAATTCCTCTTCAAGGGGAATCTATCTAAAATCGTCCCTTGGGAAATTTCGGTCACAGTTTGATCACAGCTGACTCCTTATCACCTCGATTTCACACAAAACATCTAGGAGCGACACCGGCACTTGTAGTCGTTTCCGCTGCAGACGATGGGTCGCACTAGGGGAAAGGGCTCAGTCTGGCGCGGCACCAATCGTTCCTCGCCAGTTGTAGCGGGCAAGCACCGAAGACTGCGGAGAAAGGGCTAGGGCTGCGCTAAACCCACCCACATCACCTGACGCGCCCAGCTTTCACAGCGTACAAGCTATATGTCCCTATTTACGAGATCCACTTACCCCGGGGGCCAGATTCCTGCCCCCTTCTACTCCTAGAGACAAATTTCACGACAACTTAGGATTTCGCAAACTAGGGCAGCCAAGGGGGGGGGGATGGTTTCTGAATCGCTCGCAATTATTTCCCTTTACCAAAGTGTTCCAGCTTGGACCATCAATTCCTTCTCCTTGCTCGAATGGGAAGGATGGACTCTTCTCCATTCAAAAGTGTTCCAATGCTTTCGTTCAGGTGAATCTTTCAATTAATTATTCGCGAAATCGAGTGAACTTCAATTCTTTCCGATTTTCTCCTGAGTAGTTTTAGTTTTTAGCTTTATTTCAAGTACCTTTCCAGTGCCTAAATGGTGTTGCTTTCCCCATGAGCTGTCCTGCTAACCTTGTTTTCAACGACGTCACTGGACATTGCGATTATCTCGAACAGCTTGCCTGACGCTGCAGGCTGGGCCTGACTTCCAGTAAACGCGCAGCATGAAAACGGGGTGGTGAGGAGGTAGTCTACCGGCGGAACCAACAATCGTAGGGCTCACCTGAATTCGAAAACTGCTCCTGCGAGCCAGTTCCGAGCTCTCTTCTCTGAGGCTGTCGCTAATGTTAAGCGAATGTCCTTCCTAATAAGGAAATGGTATCTGAAAATCCTTGGGATTCCTTGAAGCTTTTCTCCAAATTTCCCACACGATTAAGAGTGAAGAAAAAATGGCACAATAAAAACAATTTGAACAGCACTGATTAGTATTGAACATGCGCTTTCATAGCATGATTATAATTTGGCTGGAAAAAATGCCCTGCACACAGCAATGGTTTTACCTAAAAATACTCGATTAAGGTTCATATTCTTTGTTTCTAGCCCTCCTCAACCTGTACTGCAGTCACCTTCCGTTGTACCGCAACGTGGTCCGGTCAATTATGGAAAGGTAAGCAGCGAAGGCAGTGCACGATGGCTGGAGATGGGCGGTTACTGCCACATTGTGTGCACGGCGTTGCTACAGCCCTCACCCCCCTCCCCCTCAGCCCTTCCACCAATGACGTAGGCAGGAACCACCCGCCCCAGCAATCGTGCCCGCTGCCTTTGATATCGTCACACTTAACGCAAGATTATAGATTTACTTATAGTACCCTGTACTAAAATTGAGCGTAAAATTGAGGTGCATTATTAGTAGAATGTGCACAATGCAAATTCGCAGTTGCGAGAAAAGACGGACTGATGCTGATGTAGTTGGTGGAGGGCCACTCGGCAGTACCTCTGTGCACCTACCCCCTAACCGAAGCCCTGCCTCAGAAAGCAGACAACAAGTGTCGAGGGATTGCCTTGCAAAAGAGGCATAATTTTTTGAGCCATTGTTAGGAGGCATAATGCTGTCATCGCAATCTCGCTGGATCCAAACAGTGTTCAATTCCGATACGTCAGCTACTATACCGTGAGGTTAGGATGCACTGCGTGCACTTGCACCAGCAACGCATTTCGTGGTGTAGGTGCGTGAGCGAGGGAGGGGAATTCGAAGATCTCATTCTGCAAAAATACCATAATGGAGATGAAGATTCTTGTCTAGGCTTGGGAACGAAGGAGCTCAGGGGTGGGTGAGCCGATTTTTCTATGCAAAGAAGGGTTTTCGCACTACAGGATATAGTCCCTTCGCTGCAGACGAAGGGGCTATATCCAGGGTGTGTTAGGGGAACAGTGGGTGTGGCGTGACGCCAGCCCTATTTTTTGCCGCACTACGGGGTATAGTCCCTTCGCTGCAGACGCCAGGGCGTGTTACGGGGAAGGGTGAGTGTGGCGCAGCGCCAGCCTTCTTTTGCCGACTTTGCCCGCTTGAACGATACGTGTATAATAGAACGGGCTGGCGCTGTGCTCAAGTGCCCTCCCCCCAACACGATGACACGACCCAGTGTCTGCTGCGAAAACAACTGTAATACCAACTTTGCAGAAGGAATCCTCCAAATCCATCCTCCTCCCCACCTCCCTCCCTAGCGAACTTGAGCTTTGTTGCTTTTCCTCTTGGTATAAGTACAGTAAGAGATCCTAGATCCAGGACCCCTTCCACTAACAGAATACTTCAGATCAGTTTGGCGATCGACCTCCCGTGCAGCCATGGAAAAGACGGACTCTTCTCCACCCACAAATGTTCTACTACCTACGTCCAGGTATCTCGGCTCGCTTGAACCTAGCAACATAGGGATTAAGGATGATTTTTGATTCCATAAGGTGTTTAGTGTCTGAACGGAACTTCCTACACCATGAACTGTCCTGCTCGTCTCGTCTTCAACGATCTCAATGGATATTGCGACTATCCTGGCAATTGCCCATGGTATCGTTAACACTTTCATGAAGTTGGAGGAGCTGTTCGACTTGGGAGAGGCATCTCGCACTTTCGCCAAATCTTTTCGCTAATTCATGTTGAATTACAAGTCTTGTTCTGGGAAGACTTGTAAATTCTTGTGGAGTTGTACAGGATTCCACAGCTCTCCACAAAAAGGACTGCACGGGCTTCGCTGAATACCATTTAAGCCCCCACCAAGTCGAACGGCGCAGATCAATAAGGAGTTTCATATGATTCAAGCTAGCGAGTTAGAGAAATAGCTAAGGTCTTTATCAAGTACGCATAACCGAATGTTCTCCGAGGCAATAAATCACTCCCGGGTCAGTTGAATGGCACCAGCTTGGCTTCTGGAAATCCACAGCTCTTCCCGAACAGGGAACATCATCGTTGAGAGAAAGCCATCGGGGGAGGGGGAGGGGCGTCGTACCTTACAAGGGATTTTCGTTAACTTGCCATGAAACTTTCAGTAGATTCTATAGGGTCTGAAGTGATGCATACAAATATGGAGACCAAACGAAACGAAGGTGCCAAGAAGCCAGGGGAAATTTTTGGCTTATCATTAGTTTCTTCCACGTATGTTTTGAAAATACAAAAAAGCGAGAAAACAACAAACCGGAGAGGGGGTCAAACCGAGCCCCTTCCTTTCAGGGGTGGGGTCGTATGGTCTCAACCAAAATCCTCAAAGTATGATGTGCCCTGCCAGCAATTTGGTTCAAGCACAGTAATTTGAACATACATTCCACGATAACAGGATGGGCGGAGACATTATTAAGTAAGACCCGTCATTGATTGTTTTTCTTTGGAATGCCGCACGCCTCAAAGCAGAACACGACGCGACGCGGGGACGCGGAAGAACGAAATTCGCGTTTCCCATCTCCGCCCATGCGATCAACGCAGAATGACGTGTGTTCAGACCAGTTTCTCCCATGATTTTGTATGTTCAGGATGTGCGCTGACCTTGCTAATGGAGCTCATGCTGTTGGAGCATGTACAGCTGAATATGCGAGCTGTTGGGGAGGAGTGAAGTCGGATGCCAGGTTGGTCGATCATATATTTTTGTAGATTGAACATAATTCTTTTCCAGTGTGTAAAATACCCCTTTTTTATTGCAGGTGTCCTGGAAACCTAATTTTCAACCCAGTCAATGGCCAGTGCGATTATGAGCACAATGTCGCGGGATGTCTCATGATGAGAGGCAACGTAGCCCATCAGCCTCCACGACAGCCTGTGACCATAGCTCAGGAGCCCCCACGACAGCTAATGAGCGTAGCCCAGCAGCCCGCAAGACCGGACGTAAACGCCGGTAAGTTTGAATGAACTGGAAAAAGGACTCAAAACTTGCCCAGGGCACATCGCAGGTTGGGGGATCCAGCGAGTGGTCGTATTTGCTCGCCGAGGGGAGAGGAGATAAAGCTGTATTTGACCAGGGGATTTTTTTGCGAGTTGTTCTTCCCTGTTTCACACAGGCTACCCCCATCGTTAGGAGACTCTCCCTCTGGGGGTAGGGTCGTATTTCGCAGAACTTTCTCTCGGCTATCACAAGAATGCTGAATATAGGCAACAGTTAGACT